AACCCCTCAATTTTGGGTTATTATCAATTCGTTGTGTGAATTTTTTACAATTTTTTAATGTCAAGTTAATTCTTGTGGGATGCTTGGAGGGGTTGTTTCTGCCCCGGTAAGGCTGCTGCATGGAGATACTTAATTAGCATACGGTAAGGCTGCTGCATGGAGATGCTTAATTAACATAAAAATCCTAATTAAGATTCAGGTGCAGTGGATTCCAGAGGCGTGCAGAAACTTCTGGACGTCAGTGGTTCCTTGGTACGATTTTTAAAATAGAATTCCAGGAAGTGCAATTCTGTGATGGTGTGTTTTGTGTTCCAATGAAAAAATGGTGAAGGTCAAAGTACTTCCCTGGTGTCACCAGGAGGRCAAACCCAGAAAGTTCTTGACATCTCCTCCCTTGCTGCCTCATCCCATCTGTGGAATTCAACAGAATTCCATGGAATTCCATGGAATTGTGGAATATCCCAAGTGGGGAGGGACCCACTGGGATCATCCAGTCCAACTCCCAGCCCTGCAGAGCCCAAACAATCCCACCCTGTCCCTAAGATCATTGACCAAACCCCGCTGGAGCTCTATTAGGCTCAAGGCCTTCCCAATATCAGAAATTTTCCATGCAAGGAACTCTGCAAATCCSTGGTGGGAATTCAGAATCGAGCCCGGGTCAAATTGGAGCCCGTATCTTTCTGATTCCTCTTTGAGGAATTTATTTATTTAAATAAAAGCAAAATGCAAAACTGCCCTGGGAGTTTGGCGTCCTGTTTGTGCTCAGCATAACTCGATCTGCGAAATTCCTATTCAATTCTTTTCAGATTCCAAAATGCCCTGGAGCAATGGAAGACCAACCTACGGATGGTAATTCTGGAATAACTCCGTGCTCACCTCCTCGTCACCCCCTGGCAGTGATTAGTGCCGATGTTAATGATCACGCCGTGATCAGTCATTAATGACGGACATTAATATTTATTTTGCACGAGAGCTCCAAGGCCTCACGTGGTATCCTGAGCATCTCGAGGATCTCAAATTAAACCACGACTTTTTAAAAGATGATCTCTCTCTGGTCAGGGGAATCTCACGGGACTTGTAGGGCTGTGAATGACCTGGGGTTATGAGTGACCCGGGGCTGTGAGTGGCCTGGGGCTGTGAGTGGCCTGGGGCTGTGAGTGACCGGGTGAAATGTTTGGTGTCTGAGCTCACCCCCGGGGAAGGGTTGGTCCTACTGGGATCCCCTGCACCCCTGGAGACCCCTGACTGGGGTGAACAAGGGGAGATTTGGGCTGTGTTTGCTCATCCAGGTCCTGGCTGTTGAGGCCACTCAAGGCCACCAGAACATTCCATTTGCTGGTGACACCGAGCCTCAGTTTCCCCTCAGCTCTGCTGGGTGGCTGCTCTTGATGTTTGGCTACGTCACAATTCGAGGAGCTGGCCCTGCTCCAGAGAGCTCCCAGGACCGTGAGGTCACCACCTGACCTGGTGAGGTCATCCCAAGGTCAAAGTTTGCTCCAAGCTTAATTTCTGATTGGGTTCCTTTGTGCGCTAATGACCCTCGAGCCAGTTGCCGCCCATTATCACCAAATTAGAGATTGAAATTGGCGATTTCTGAGCCTTCAAAGGAGGGACAGGAAACTTCAACCTTGGAAATGTGGGATTATTCCGAGCAGGGAGGTGAAGGAAAAGCCAACCTGTCCAACCTGAGGCCGTTTTATGTCGCCTTTGTAGGGATTTGTTGCATGAATTCATCCAGTGAGCCAAAAAAACCCCCACGGTTAGAGTTGGACGTGAACACCAAGGGGTTCATCGAGATGGATCCATCACCGGTTTTACAAAGGAAATTACTCAAATTAGAGTCATACGAATTTCTCAATTAAATTTTGCACTGAGTGAAGGGGCTCAGCAGGCTCTGAGAGATGCTCGGAGGAGCGGAGCTCTGATTGTTTGGATTGGGGAATTACAGACCCTGGGAAACTATCTTGGCTGGGAAGCAGTTGAGGCCAATTCCTCCTCCTTAATCCCAATTCCTCCTCCTTAATCCCAATTCCTCCTCCGTAATCCCAATTTCTCCTCAATCCCAATTCCTCCTCGTTAAATCCCAATTCCTCCTCGTTAACCCCCAGGGTTTTCCTCATGAGGGTGTGCAACCCGCAGTGTCGTTATTTAAGGTGTCCTTGGCACAGCAGAAATGTCCCCTCGGGTGACCAGGATTGCAGGGAGGGAGGACTCCTCTTTCCAATAATTTGGGGTTCTTCAAGGCTTCCTCACCCTAATTGGGAGTGATTCTTTCCCCATGTTGCCCCCAAACCTCGTCTCCATCAGTCTGACCCCATTTTGTGTCCAATCCCTGCAGTTCCTGAGGAAAAACCCCTCTCTGACTTTCCTTGGGCCCCCCAAATCCTGACAGGAGCTCTGAGCTCTCCACTGACCCTTCTCCCCTCCAGGCTGAACATTCCCAGCCCTCCCAGCTTGGATCCGTAGGGAAAGGGGCTCCAAATCCTCTGAGAAACTTCATGGCCTCCTCTGGGCTTGCTCCTGGGGGAAAGGAAATAAAAAAGGCCAGCACAGGAAAGGGAAAGCCTCTGCTTGAGGGCCAAACGGCTGCTGTGGCTGCAAAACCTCAGTTACTCAATTCCCACCTGCCGGGAGGGAATTGAGTACAAAAATGAGTAAAAAAATGAGTAAAAAAATGAGTATAAAAATAAGTATAAAAATGAGTTTTTGAGGCTCGTGTGGGGCTGAGCTGCCTCCCAGCGAGGGCCAGAACCCCCAGGCAGGTGAATCATTCCTTGCCCCGGCTGCAACTWTTCCTTTTTAGCTCGTTCCTCCCTAATGAGCGTTTTCTCCATAACCTATAAACAATGAATTCCAATTCCTTATTGACCAACTGGTCATTTACTGGCTATTGCAGCGCCCGGCTCATTCCAGGCTGTTTCCCACGCCTGGGACGGGTGGTAAGAGATGAATCACGCCAGGGAAACCTTCACTTATTTTACACCGTAGGAATTGGTTAATTGAGGCTTTTCCGAGTTCCAAACCGGGCGGGATTCGCTTTGTTTTGGTTCCAAAAATAGCAGCGGGCCTGGGAGCAGAAAGGGGCGGGAAGAACATGAACACACAGGTCGGGTTGGAAAATCCTCGCTGAGCCCGGGGCGAGGATTTGCTTCCCCCAGGAATTCACCCCCRTGCTCCTCCCAGCCCTTGTGAGTGCTCCTGGCGTTTTCCAAGGATTTCGTGTTCCCTTGGCATTCCTCCCGCTCCGGGGATTGCAGCACAGTTCCAAACACACAAGGAAACAGAGAAACCACCAGAGAGCAGCACGGAATCCCACAGTAACTGAGGTTGGAAAAAACCCAGAGGTCATCAAGTCCAAGCTGTGACCGATCGCCCCCCGGCCACCCAGCCCAATGTCCAGTCTGTGGACATTTCCAAGGATGGGCAATCCAAACCTCCCTGGGCAGCCCCTTCCAAGGCCCGACCACCCTTCCCAGGAGGAAATTCCTGCTGATGTCCACCCTGAGCCTCCCCTGACATGAGGGTCATTCCCTCTCGTCCTGTCCC